TTGCCACTGTTATTTAAGAAAGTACTGGATGTCCTAGCCACAGTAATCAGACAATAGACGAAAATGGATTCAAACCAGCAAGGAAAAAGTTAAACTTTCACTATTTGCACATGATATGATACTCTATATAGAAAACCTGAAAGACTCCACCCAAATACTGCTAGAAATGATCAAGTAATTCAGTATATTTTCAGGATATGAAATCAATGTACAGAAATATGTAGCATTTCTATACATCCATAACGAAGCAGCAGGAAGATAAAAAATGGAGTCATTTCCATTTACAATTGTACCCAAAACAATAAAATACCAAGGAATAAACCTAATCAAAGAGGCTAAAGACCTGTAATCTGAAAATTATGAAACTGGTGGGAAAAAAATTGAAGATGACACTAAGAAATTGAAAAACCTGCCATTTTCATGGATTGGAAGAACAAACATTTTTTATTCATTTTTTATTTTATTTTGTATTTTTTTTAATTTTTTTTAACATTTATTTATTTTTGAGACAGAGAGAGACAGAGCATGAACGGGGGAGGGTCAGAGAGAGGGAGACACAGAATCTGAAACAGGCTCCAGGCTCTGAGCGGTCAGCACAGAGCCCAACGCAAGGCTAGGACTCACGGACCGCGTGATCATGACCTGAGCCGAAGTCGGACACTTAACCGACTCAGCCACCCATGCGCCCCAGAACAAACATTTTTTAAATGTCTATATTACTCAAGGCAATTTACACATTTAATGTAATTCCTATTCAAATACCACCAGCATTTTTCACAGATTTAGAAAAAAATAATTCTAAAATTTGTATGGAACCACAAAATACCCTGAAAGCCAAAGCAATCTTGAAAAAAAAAAAAAAAACAAAAAAAAACAAAAAAAAACAAGCTGGAGGCATCACAATTCCAGACTTCAAGTTATGTTGCAAAGATGTAGCCACCAAAACAGTATGGTACTGGAAACAACATAGACATATTGATCAATGGAACAAAATAGAGGGTCGCCCGGGTGGCTCAGTCAGTTAAACGTCTGACTCTTGATTTTGGCTCAGTTCATGATCTCATGGTTTGTGAGTTTAAGCCCCACATTGGACTCCTCGCTGACAGCATGGAGCTTGTTGGGGATTCTCTCTCTCTCTCCCTTTATCTCTGCCCCTCCCCTGCTCTCTCTCTCTCTCTTAAAAAATAAAGTATAAAAAATGGAACAAAATAGAAAATCGATAAACAAACTCACAACTATATGGTCAATTTTCTTCAAAAAGGCAGGAAAGAATATTGAATGGGAAAGGACAATCTCTTCAACAAATGGTGTTGGGAAAACAATACAGCAGCATTCAAAAGAAATAAACTGGACAACTTTCTTATGCCATACACAAAAACAAATTCAAAATGGATGAAATAACTAAATGTGAAACAGCAAAGAGGAGAGGAAAACAGAAGCAGTAACCTTTTTGACATCAGCTGTGGCAACTTCTTTCTATATATGTCTCCTGAGGCATGGGAAATAAAAGCAAAAATAAACTACTGGGACTTCATCAAAATAAAAATCTTCTGCACAGTGAAAGAAATAATCAAGAAAACTAAAAGGCAACCTATGGAATTGGAGAATATATTTGCAAATGGCATATATGATAAAGTGTTAGTATTCAAAATATATAAAGAACTTACAGAATGCTACACTCCAAAAATGAATAATTGAATTAATAATGGTAAGAAAACATGAATAGACATTTTTCTACAGAAGATATCCATATGGGCAATAGACACATGAAAAGATGCTCCACATCACTGATCACCAAGGAAATAAAAATCAAAACTACAATATCACCTCACACTTTCCCAGTGGTTAAAATTAACAACACAAGAAAAAAAAAACAAGTGTTGGTGAATATGTGGAGAAAGGAGAACCCCCTTGCACTGTTGGTGGAATGGGAACTCATGCAACCACTCTGGAAAACAGTTATGCAGGTTCCTCAAAAATTTCATAATAGGACTACCCCATGATCCCATAACTGCACTAGGTATTTACCAAAAGCATACAAAAATACTGATTTGAAGGGGCACATGCACCCTGATGTTTACAGAGGCATTATCAACAATAGCCCAGCTATGTAAAGAGCCCAAATGTCATCTAATCTAATGATAGATAGATATAGATATAGATATAGATATAGATACAGATATAGATGATATAGATACAGATATAGATATAGGCATATCTGAATAATACTCACCCATCAAAACAAATGAAATCTTGCCTTTTGCAAAAACATGGATGGAGCTAGAGAGTATTATGGTAAGAGAAATAAGTCAGTCAGAGAAAGACAAATACAATATGGTTTTACTCATATATGGAATTTAAGAAACAAAACAGATGACTATATGGGAAGAAAAAAAAAGAGAGAGGGAAGCAAACCATAAGACACTCTTAAGTATAGAGAACAAACATGGTTGATGGAAGGACGTTGGGGAAGAGCTAAATGGGTGACGAGCACTGGGTGTTATATTTCAGTGATGAATCACTAAATTCTATACCTGAAGCCAGTATTACTGTATATGTTAACTAACTAGAATTTCAATAAAAATTTGAAACAAAAAATGTGAATCGTCTGTTGAGACCAGATAGTAGAAGCTTTATTTTGAGTGTTGCTTATTCTCAGGCATTAATAAGTGGGGAGGAGTTTTATGAAAAAGTTAAAAAAAAAAGTTAACTCAGTTTTTTATCCCAGAGGGCAGACAGTGCAGGTTTTTTTCTAGATGTTACACTCAATGCTTATTTAGATGTTAAAGTGAAGAAAACAGTGATATCCAATGAATTTTCTGATTTCATGTTTGAATTTCTGTGATGATGGCATCAGATGTTCTGGAAAACTTTCTGTGGCTCACACAGTGGTCAAGAGGAAGTTTTCCCATACACTATCTTTTTTGGTGACATCCTTGACATTCATAGAAACTCACATATCTAAAGCTTGCAGGGTTTTTTGGAAAATGTCCATTTTAAATCTCAGTAATTCTAAATCAGAGGGAAGAATAGTTTAGCGAGGTTATAGAGGATTTGGGAGAATTGAGGATTTTCCAAAGGCTCTCAAAATGTGTAAGAAGGAAGCCACAAGGGTACACCATAGCTGTCCATTGTAATACAAATTTTCTCTGTGAGGTCTTCACAACCACTTCAGTCAGACATAATCAATGCCAGACTAATTTGTTTATAAAACAAATTTAATTTTAGTCTTCTTTGTGTGTAGTCTTATTTAACTTAGCCTGAATATTTACATAATTTCAGCTTTATTAGTGATAGACTACATATGTCCCTTGATCGCCTTGCTGAAATTTTCAGAAGAATTCTGATTGGATTTGTAAAGCCTCTCAAGGTTAGGAAGATAAGCCAATATCTTGCCACCAGATTTTGCCTACAATACCCACAGATTTGGGAGAATTCCACTCTTCTCAGGGTCCTCAAAGTTTCCTGGGGCCTTTTTAGAAGTATCCTTTCTCAGTGCATGGCAAGAAAATCTATATGACTTTTATAGGCCAGTTTTTCTAATGGGGGATATATGGGCATTTGCTTCCTAAAGTCAACCTTAGTTCCTTAAAACTAACTGGTCGTATATAATTCCATGAATATTATTCTCTAGTATAACATTCTACTCAGAACCTTGGTAATATACCCAGTGCATCAAGTTATGTCCTTGGGGAGCAGATGGGGGGGACATCTGGGGGCTCAGTTGTTTAAGTGTCCAACTCTGTATTTTGGCTCAAGTCATAATCTCACAGTTTGTGTAACCAAGTCCCATGTCAGTCTCCATGGTGACAGCACAGAGCCTGCTTAGGATTCTTTCTGCATCTCTGTCTCTCTCTCTTTAGAAATAAATAAACGTGCTTTTTTGTAAAAAAAAAAAAATCCAATAAAAATTGTGTCCCAGATTATTTTTAATCATAAGTGTACTCTTCAATCCCCATCCCCTATTTCTGCCATCCCCTTACTCACCTCCAATAGTTTGTTCTCTACAGTTAAAAGTCTATTTCTTGGTTTCTCTCTTTTTTTTTTCCGTTGTTCATTTTTTGTTTCTTATTCCACATATGAGTGTAATCATGTGGTATTTGTCTTTCTCTGAATGACTTATTTCATTTTGCATTAGACTCTCTAGCTCTATCCATACTGTGCAAATGGCAAGATTTCATTCTTTTTTATGGATGAATAATATTCCAGTGGGGTGTGTGTGTGTGTGTGTGTGTGTGTGTGTGTACACATATATACCACATTTTCTTTGTTCATACATCCATCAGTGGACATGGGCTGCTTTGATAGTTTGGCTATTGTAAATAATGCCACAACAAACATTGGCATGCATGCATACCTTTGAATTAGTGTTTTTATAATTGGGGAGGTAAACCCATTAGTGAAATTACTGGATTGTAGGGTAGTTGTACTTTTAATTTTTTAAGGAAACGCCATACTGTTTTCAATAGTGGCTGCACCAGTTTATACTCCCACTGACAGTCATTTGCAAGAGGGTTCATTTTTCTCCATATCCTCACCAACACTTGTTCTTTCTTGTGTTTTATTTTAGCCATTCTGACAGGTGTGAGGTGTTGCTGCGTTTTAGTTTTGATTTGTATTTTCCTGATCAGTGATGTTGAGCGTATTTTTATATGTCTTTTGGCCACCTGAATGTCTTCTTTTGGATAAATGCCTGTTAATGTGTTCTGTTCATTCTTTAATTGGATTATTGTTGTTGTTTAAATTGAGTTGTGTCAGTTATTTATATATTTTGGATACTAACCCTTCATTGGATATGTCATTTGCAAATAACTTCTCCCATTATAAAGGTAATATTTCGTTTGTTGTTTGCTACCTTCACTCTGTAGAAACTTATTATTTTGATGAAGTACCAATAGTTTATCTTTGCCTTTATTTCCTTTGCCTAAGGGGATATATGTCAACCTCACTGGGCTGTGGACCTGGGGTGGCAAAGGAACTGAGAAAAAAAGAGGACAGTATAGCGAGGCACAGGGTGCCCCGAGCCAACAGCCCGAGGTACCAAGGTTTATTGTACATCTTCTTATATATGTTTTCAGGAAAAAAACCAGATCAGCAATGATTAACAACAGAAGCTTAGCAAAGCATGTCAACAATGTACATCTGATTCAGCTGTCTTACGTATGTTGTGTAGGAGAGCAGTCTTGCAGATACATATGTTCCGATAAGAATCTTTATGATAGAGGCAAAGACAAAGAAGGGAGTGAATGCACTGTGCTATATACAGCTGACTTCCTTTAAGCAAAACATCCCTATTTGTGTACTAAAGAACAGACCACATTTCCCAAGAGCAATTCACTCAAGTCCTCTCAAGTTATTTTTAACTTTATGATCTCAAGTTTTCTCAGAGATCTTGGAACCTGAATGAATATGCCCCTGTGGTCATTGTGGTGTTCTGTTTCCCACAGTACCCTCTTCCCTTTCAAAGCCACAGCTGTAGTAAGCATCTTATGATGAAAGCTCTGTGCATTCCTTCGCCTTCTAAGGGTGCAGTAGCCTTTGATGTAAGACCCTCTACAGGGTTTTCTTCACAGCCTCTAGTCAAATTTACAGGGAGCCAAACCCCTATACGTGTGCCAAGGTTCAAGTCACAACTGCCAGCATGGCTGAGAACAAGCGTTTAGGAGTTTTGCTGGATTTAGTTGTTTCCAGGACTCATTCTACACATTGTGTGAGATTCTTCAGTTGTCCCCATGTGGGAGGAGGGATTGGAGCCATCTTCTATTTTTGGGGTCTCTATAGGGTCAGTGCCACCATCTCCTTCACCAGGGGTTGGGTCGTCAGGCAGGCCTTATAGTGGCTGAGAAGTCTCCTTCATTTTGCTGATGTCTAATCCTGGGCTGGACTTTCCAAAGAGGTATCCATATTTGTTGACGGGATCCATCTGGAAGTACACAAGCATAACCAGGGCCTTGGATAATAAGGTTCCTGAGCTGCCAGTGATTATCTTCATTTTTTAACCAGATAGGTTTTTTTTTTTGTGTGTGGGAATCTGTTGGAGTGAAGTGTTTATCCGCATGTGTGTATGTCTCACCCTGCAATAAATTTTAAAAATTTAAGGTAAATAGTGCTTGGGCCATAATATCTTGGGGAGAGGGTCCCCCTTTCTTTTTAGTTAGAAGTTTGACTAATTGTCTTCTAAGGGTTGCATGTGTGCATTCTACTATAGCCTGTTCTTGAGGATTGTAAAAGATACCTGTGACATGTTGGATCTGCTAATCCAGTAGAAAGTCATGTAGACATCTGGTTACATAAGCAGGTCCATTATCAGTTTTAATGCTAGTGGGCAATCTCATAACCAAAAAAAAAAAAAAAAAAAGACAAGTAAATGAGAAATAACATGTCCTGTTTTCTTCCCCCAAGAGAGGGGGAAAGAAAATTCAGAAAAGGTATCAATAGTAACATGAATGTAAGAGAGGCTCCCAAAAGCTGGAAAATGTGCAACATTCATTTGCCAAATACAATTTGGAATAGTATCTCGAAGGTTAACTCCTGATGCATGCATGCTCAGTTAAACCCAGAGGTCTACAAATGGGACAATGGGAAACTGTCTGGCAAGGTACATGGGAATCTTATAGTGTACATGAAGACGATTAACATGTTAAATGTGAGTGTTCCTCATGTGGAGTGAGAAAAATAGATGAGGTGAGTAAATCAGCAGATTGGTTTCCGAAAGCCAAAGGTCCAGGGAGATTTGAGTGAGAACAGATGTGAGTTATATATAGGGGATGCATCAGAGACTGAATATCAAGCTGTAAGTCTTGAAGTAGAGGGTTAATGATAGCATGGGTAGTGGAGATAAGAGCAGTCTCCAAAGGGGGTCACCAGACCTACTATATCAGAAACCACATTAAGAGGTCCTGGGATAGATTGGAGGAGGTAGAAAATAGTGACTAATTCAACTTGCTGAGCAGATGTATAAGAGGTCTGTATAGATTTTGTAAAGACGCCAGCTCTGCTGGAAGAGGAGCCATCAATGAAATAGGTAGGTGCAGAAAGAATGGGAGAATCACAAACAACAGGGTTGATGATCCAGGGGGTTCATTTCAAAAAGTCCCATAATTTTCCTGAGGGATAATGGCATCCAATGTGTCCTGTATAATCAGCAAAGGCAAACTGTAAAGAGGGAGGAAAAAGGGAAAATGTCCTTAAAGGTAGCTGAGGCAAGTGGTAAAACAATTAAAGTTGGATCGAATCCCAGGATTTGGATAGCTCTTTTTTATCCTTGAATAACAAGTGAAGCTATAAGAGAAATATACAGGGTTACAGTGTGAGATGTCTTCATGTGAAGAGTCATCCATTCCAAGGGTCTATCTTCTTGTGCCAAAATTCCTGTAGGAGAGTGAGAGGTAGGGAAAACGAGGAGGAGTAAAGGCAGTGAAGCATCATATCTGTAAGCAAAAGAGGTTTTTAAGCATTCTTCAATGAACTGGAGTTCATTTTCTGCTTCTGGTGACAAGTGATGTGGACTGTCCAGAGCAGTATCACCTTGTAAGCATTAAATAAATTTTGTAATTGGTAAGTAGGAATGCCTAACAAAGGGTGTATCCAATTGATATCCCCAAGGAGTTTTTGAAAATCATTAAGTGTGTTAAGATTATCTTTGCAGATCTGCATACTTTGTGGCTTCACAGTGGTCCAGTCAACTATGGTACCTAAATAGGAGGCCGGGGTGGCAGTCTGAATTTTTTCCAGGGCAATAATAAGCCCAGCAGCAATGAGGTGAGATGAAGTTTCATTGTAAAGCACTTGTAATTCCTCTTCGGTTTGTGTGGCTATTAATATACCATCCATATAATGAATTATGTAAGCCTGAGGATATCACTGGTTGCAGAACCTGGCCAACGAAGTATTGACACATAGTAGGAGAATTAATCATACCTTGCTGGAGGACTATCCAATGATATCATCTCATGGGCTCTTTATTATTTGGACTGGGAATGGAGAACACAAAGTTTTCCTTATCATAAGAATGTATTGCAATAGTATAAAAACAATCCTTTAAATCAATAATTATTAGAGGCCATTGTTTTGGAATCACCATGGGCATGGGCAAGCCTGATGGCAAGGCACCTAAAGGTTCCATGATGGCGTTAACATTTCTGAGATCTGTGAAAAGGCTCCATTTTCCTGATTTTTTTCTTAATGACAAATACAGGAGAATTCCAGGGGGACTGGGAAGGCTCCATATGTCCTGCCAACAACTGTTCTTGAATTATTTGTTTTAAGACCTCAATTTTTCTGATGAAAGGGGCCATTGAGGGGTCCATAGAGGACAAGTTGTTTTCCATGTAATTTTAATGGGAGCAGGCTTATACTCCTCAATGGCTCCTAAGGGAAAGGATATCCTAGTCCTGCTCTGTGAAGTTGGCCCTGCGCAACAATTGCCTCTCTAATGCCTTGATGGTTTTTACCTAGGCTTTGTCCCTCCCTGTAACCCATTTTGGTCATGATATGTTTGGCAGAGCCACTTGGAGGGATAACCAATTCTGCTCCCCATTGTTGTAACAAGTCTCTCCCCCAGAGGTTGATGGGGTGTTCAAAATAAAAGGTTGAGGAGGGCACCAAGATGGCGGAAGAGTATGGAAGATTTTTTGGTGTCTCGCATCCATGAAATACAGCCAGACCAACATTAAACCATCCTGCACACCTAGAAAACTGATCTGAGGATTAACACAACAATCTGCACAACCTGAAGCACAGAACTCAGCAGGTACATGGAGTGGAGAGGTGAACTTGGGGAGAGAGAAGCCATGGTGGACAGGGAGCTGCTTTTGTGGGCAGAGAGAGGACAGAGATGGGGTGGGGGCAGGAATATGGGAAAAGCACCACTCCCCAAAAGCAGCTGGAGAGAAAGTGGAAAATTGGAAACAGCTACAGGGACTAAACTAAAAAGGGAGAAAGGAGAAAGGAGAGAGTTAAAATTCCATTAAGACTGTAAACAAGGGGAGCGCAGAGGCTACAACTTCGCAGGTATTGAACTGCTCTGGTGGGAAGGGCAAATCCCCAGGAGCAGAGTGGGGTCTCGGAGGTTCTTGGGCCACCTGGGGAAAAGTGGTTCCACTGTTGGAAGGACATTTGGTACAGACTGTTGAGGCCACCTGGTCCCAACAGACCCCAGAGAATGGCCACATTTTCTGGTGGTAGAACAAGGTCATTAAGGGTGAAGCTTGGTGCCAGATGTGTGTTGTGATTTTCCATAATCCCTGAAATGCTGCTGCTACACTATCTTGTGAACATTTTCTGGGCCACGCTGGCACCCAGCCACAGTCTCTGGGCTTTGGCAGCAATATGGCAGCAGTATGGTCCTGCGAACTTACCTGGGTGCAGCTGGCATTTGGTCATTGCTTGGTGAAACCATCCGCAGAGGGTCAGAATGGGTCAAAGCTGCAGTCCCTCAGAAGCAATGGGCTGGGGAAAACAGCCACATCTGAGACAAAACTCTGGAGAGAGGTACTACCTGGGGCTTGGTCACAGACAGTGAAAAAGCAGAGAGCAGACAAAAGCTGAAGACAAAGGGCAAGTGTGCAATTGCTGATCAGGGAGAACAGAGTTCTGATACTAGAGACTGGGTAGCTGGATGATGCCATTTTTCACCGCTGTCATGCATGGTCACATGCACCTACGAGTGCCACAACACTCCACCCCAATAGGCTAGCAGTGCCATCTAGTGGAGAACAGAGCCATTACACGAAGCCCCACCCAACTGGGCCAACCTTGCTTTTCAAGAACACAAGTCTCACCGCCTTAGTTTATGGACTATAAAGCACTTCATAGTCTGATTTCTAGGGGAAAATGAAGTAATTTCAGTCGTATTTCAATCTGTTAGCAGGTCCAACTATTCAATTTTCTTTCTTTCTTTCTTTCTTTCTTTCTTTCTTTCTTTCTTTTTCACTTATTTTCTTTTTCCTGAATACAGAAAGAGAAAAATTCATTTTTATATTTAATTTTTATTAAAATATTTTTCTTTAATTTTTATCTACTATGTTCTTTACTTTTGTGTATTTTTTTCAAATTCCATTTTACTTACATCATTTCATTTTAGTCTACTTCAGTATATTAATTTTTTTCAAATTCTTAAACAATTTCCTTTTTTTCCCCTTTTTTTCTTTAATATATCAAACCACTTTCAACACCCAGACCAAAACCCACCTAGGATATAGCATCATTTATTCGATTTGTGTGTATGTGTTTAAGTTTTTAATTTTAATATTTTTTTAATTTTAATTTTTTCTAACTCATTACTCTTCTCCCTTCAAAATGACAAAATGAAGGAATTCACCCCAAAAGAAAGAGCAGGAAGTAACAACAGCCAGGGACTTAACCAACACAGATAGAAGGAAGATGTCTGACACAGAATTAAGAATCACAATATAAGAATACTAGCTGGAGCTGAAAATCGATTAGAATCCCTTTCTGCAGAGATAAAAGAAGTAAGAACTAGTCAGGATGAAATTTAAAAAATGCTATAACTGAGCTGCAATCATGGATGGATGCCGCAGCGGCATGGATGGATGAGGCAGAACAGAGAATCAGTGATATAGAGGACAAACATCTGGAGAATGATGAAGCAGAAAAAAAAGGAGATTAAGGCAAAAGAGCACAATTTAAGAATTAGAGAAATCCGTGACTCATTAAACAGGAACAACATCAGAATCATAGGGATCCCAGAAGAGGAAGAGAGAGAGATAGGGATAGAAGGGTTATGTGAGCAAATCATAGTGGAAAACTTTCCTAACCTGGAGAAAGACACAGGCACCAAAATCCAGGAAGCACAGAGGACTCCCAGTAGATTCAGCAAAAACCAACCATCAACAAGGCAAATTCACAAAATACTCAGCCAAGGAGAGAATCATGAAAGCAGCAAGGGAAAAAAAAAGTCCT